GGGCGAGCTGTCGAAGACAAGGCCCTTTTCTTCCGCATGCCCCCGCCCAGCTCGGGCTCGCCCTAGAGCGAGCTCGCCCTCTTCCTGCAGCTCATTAGCGCTCCCGGCGGCTCCAGGCGGCTTGAGGCGGTTTGGGGCGGCTCCGGGCCTTCCTCCTAGAAGACGGGCCGGAGCGTCTCGCTCATATGTGTGCGTCCAGCGGGGCAGGGGTGGCGGAAGCGAGGTCCAGCGGGCAGATGAGGGAGAAAGAGAGAGAGAGAGAGAGCGGAAGAGCGAGGTACAGGGCTTGTTCGGAAGGGAGGATGGGAGAGACGGGGAGAGTATCTGCCTCTTGAGACTCATCTCGCGTACGCTTTTGACTTTGATGTTTGCGCGCGAAGCCGCGCAAAGCCTAGACTGGACTTGGCTGTGGCCCCTGCTGCCCTATGCCCTCCTTTTCACACACACACACAAACACAAACACTAACACACTCGTAATGGGCTGAGAGCTCGACCGACCGACCTGCGGTACAGTAGTCCTTGGCTGGACTTCCTCTCCTGTCCTGAAGGTTATGGTCGGCCACCTGCTCACGTCAAGAATACACGCTGTCGGATCAATTCCATGTCGATATGCGGGGCTATTAAATTTTACAAATTTTGAATTATAATTGTGCGACATGGAAAATATTCCTGTACCCGTACAATTTTTCACCGTGGAAATGGTGCTGCCGCTTTTTTCCCCAACGAGATTCCCTATGCCGCCTGCTGGGTTTTTCTCTGTCTCATTCTTCTTAAGGCATGACTAATTTTTACTCGAGATGCATGTACGGGAAAAGATACACACTATCTTCATTTCATACACAGAAAACAGATTGCGTCACGAAAATTACAATGTACATTCACCATTGGGACTGCGTTGTTACTGTTTCAGAAGCAAGCAGTAGGACTTGTCGAACGACTAATTATGTTTTTAAAAAGACCAAAGTGCGGGGAATGACGCATTCTTTCCCGCCTCCTACCGCAGGCACCATGTACTGGTTTGGGCGGGTTGCCTACAGGGCCTTAAGGCGCCATGGTCAACGACGCAAAAAACGCGCCCGCACGCCTGCAAGCGGTACTCTATCACTACAAAAATGCGCAGAGTTGATCAGCCACCTGGTATACAAAATACTTTAAATATTTATTTTTCGAGTAAACTTTTGACGTGTTACGTTAAAAATGAGAGTCAAACCTCCTCCTTCCCTGGCAACAGTATTCAAACAGACAGATGAAGCTCGGAAGCAATTACCAAAAACAATCACCAAAATCGATTTGCATCTGGCACATATTGGCTGATCATCGGGCCTGTCCACGCACTCTTCTAAATGTATAAGGATGTGTTATTGTTGCCAGCACCAGACTTCCGTCTTCAAAACTCAGTTCAAATACAATATTGTCTTGCGCTTCAGTTTGAATTAATGTGTATATTGCCCATTCATGCTCCCTACCTCGCCCCTCGCCGCTGTCGGAGCGAGCCGCCACCGCTCGGAACACCGCATGCTTCTTGCATTCTTACCTGTCGTTCACGAAGCAGACACTGCTCGCTCCCTCAACTACTAGTGTCGGTGGTCTCGCGCACAACTCATCACGCGGGTCCACACGGCCCTTGAGGGTGCTCCTTGAGGGTGCCCCTTGAGGGTGCCCCTTGAGGGTGCCCCCAGCTGCGGCGGGGTCTCTCTTCGGTGGCGGCCGGCCGTGGGTCGTCACAACGCCGCCAATAGTTTCCGCAAACACAATAACACAAACACCGGTGTGGCACAAAGAGCGTGTTTACATGCTGCGGCTCCGCTTGGCTCGGCGTGCGAGGGTACGCGCGGCAGCCCGGGCGGCGCTCTGGGCGGCCCATGGCGGCGCTCAAGGAAGCGGAGGCTGGTGCTCCAGACGGTGCGGGACGTCACAGGGTGGCGCCGGGCGGCGCTCTGGGCGGCGCGCGCGGAGAGAGAGAGAGGGAGGGAGAGGTCGGGGCGTCGCGGCGGTCCTGGCGCGACTGGGGCCCCACCCGCGCGCTGGGCCCGGCCGGCCGGCCAGCCGAAGGGGGGCGCCCCTCGGCTCAGGCCGCCCGCGCGCCCACCCGCGCGCAGCCCGCGCTCCCACCAGCACCACGCCGTCTGCAGGGCCAGCAGCGCCCTGGCCAAGCGGCTCAAGATGCTTTACTCCAATTACCCAAAACCCCACAGTTAATTGTCTTTACATTGCGGGATGATAGGCGCAAAGCAGTGACTTGTCACAGGAATTGTAAATCGCAGCAGAGTGAAAGGAAAGCTTTTGTTTCGACAAACAGTGATCAACTCTGACTAACCAAACGCGTAAACAAGCCAACATGGTCTCGTAAAAATTAAAAAAAATGTTGTTGGTTTTTTGTTTTGTTTTTTTAAGAGAAAACCGGGGAAAAATGTGAAATGTTAACACGTTGAGTGCGGCGGGGGTAGGCAATCCTATGTTATTGTGACCCACGGTGTGGGTCACGCCGCACTGAACGTGTTAAACTTTGTGTTTACAGGCGTGTGCATATTGTAAAATATGTTGTCTTTAAACATGGTAGTGGTAGGAAGTGGTTGGATGGAATAAATGGTATTAAAGTGAACTGGATATACTCTGCAAAGCACAAGCATACCATTCTGCTAAAGAATTTTCTTTTCCAAAGTGATATTATAGTAAATAAGTAGTCGACACCAAGATTTGCTAACTTCATAGAGTTTGGTTCTCTGCCAATGACCACATCTCAAAATTGACCATACTTTTGACATCCATGGTCAGAAACATTTAAAATATCTGTCCTTTGAAATAACTCAGAAAAAATCTCAATACAGAAAATCAGAAACGTTACTGTAAATAGGTAAAATAAAAATGAAGCAAACCTAAACTAACAAACCTAAGTCGATACAGAAAATCAGAAACGTTACTGTAATGTAAGATGAAAATGATCCAAACCTAACTCATTACAGAAAATCAGGAACAATCTCACTGTGGTATAGTGAATACAGAGTTCACTGAACGCGGGCGTGATTTTCACGCTAGGCGTGATTTTCACGCCAGACGTGATGAAAGCCGGTTCCTGATTGGCTGTGTGAATTTTACGAAGCGTGAAAAATCACGCGTGGCGTGAAAAATCACGCGTGGCGTGAAAAATCACGCGTGGCGTGAAAAATCACGCGTGGCGTGAAAAATCACGCGTG